CAAGTTAAGTAGACTTCTTTTCAGTAGCTCATCTCATCCACCCAAGAAGGCCCTTACTGTGTTTGACGTGTTTAAGTAGTTTAATGAAAAGTAATATATGTGCCTACATATATTGAAATTGCATGGTTTTTTTAACCAAGTAGATCAGTTTTCTAAATATTGAAAATTGATTAAATACATCTATGCACTTCAGAATTGATAAGTGGCATATCCCTGAATGTTTAGAATTAGCAGTCTATGAACAGGCATACAATTTCTTATTTATATGTCAGATTTTTGGTTTTGTTTAGAGCAGAGCTGCTACAGACAAAGGAAGATAACAATAAGCTGACCCTATATAAATGAAATCCACAACTGGGTGGCATAAGAGTGTTCAGATTAAAAAAAAAAAGATCACATATATATCTGCATGCACAAACCCATGTATCTCACACACATACCCCATCTTTTTTTCTAGCTTTAAGCAGTTAGTTATCAACAATTCCCTAGGAGATCTGTAACATGGTTAACAGAAGCACACAAAGATTTAATTTTTAAGAAAAAAAGATAGCAGAAAATCATTAGCACCTGAAGTGACTCTAGCCTTTGGGGAATAATTCATCTCATTTCTCTTAAAAAAAGAAATCTGAGTGCTAGAGACTTGAACACCAGTTCATTTTCACTACCAGAGAAAGACAAATTTCTGTGAAAATACAGTTCCTTGGCTATTTGTGTGCACATCAGCCATCAAGCACTGAGTTACTGACAGGTCTATTTGCAGAGTATATTTGATTACACTCCGTTCTAAGTTATGGTTAAGTGGGTTTTAGTGAGCTGCTGCAGTAAACCACTCTCAACACCACATTATGTGATGTTTCCTAATACATGTGAAATATGTAATCTGACATGCAAAATTTAAAATATATTTTTGGAAATCTAGACACTTGTAGAATGATACATTATAATTATATGGATAGCAGATTTGTTATAGTATTTCATGCTTTTTGTACGAACATGAAAACCAGCAACAGCAGAGTTTTTAGTAATCACGAATGGCAATAAATATTTCACAGATTACTTATAGTCTTAAAATTTGTATAGAACTATGAGTTACAATAACTGATATGGGTATTATTGGCTTAATAATCCATTTTGAAAGGGGATTCTGGCTGCCAGAATCACAGATGTGTAATGTGTACAGTAAATTTCTTGTATCCTGAAATAAGACATAGCAGAAAACTGTGCAAAAATACTGCTCTACCTGTCAATAGATGAAGACTTACCAAAGGGAGAAAAAAAGAAGAAAAAAAAATCAGAGCATGAAAATATCTATATTTAAAAAACAACAACAGCAAACAACCTATTTTTTTAACGAACTAAATAAAGACTGTACTGAAAATACATAAGAAGATGAACAAGAAAAAAGAACTGTTAAGAGTGATCATGCAAGAAGTTACATATATAAGAAACCTCTTTCTCAATAAGCCAGATAACTTTTCATACTAAAACTATTATCATTTAGAATATTATCGCTAAATGTTTAATCATATACTACAATACAATATTCCTGTTAAAATTAAGAAAAAAAGGAAAAAAAAGAAATGTCTAATATGCATCGGCCCTACTGCAAGTTTGCCGCCTTAATTATGTAAAGCAAGTAGCCTCAGAAAATAAGTTTTTAATTCACAGTTAATGAACAGGCACAACCATGCCATGACAATGACATTGATTCTTAACATGAATTTTTATTAAACACCTTCTTGCATATGGCTATAAAAACAAATTAGACTTCTTAAATTCCAGGTAGACTGTTGCATTTTAGCACACTCATTTTTGCTAGGTGTTAGCAAACAATAATATGTGTTAGTTTTAATTATCTGATTAATAAATGTATTTTTTTAGCATACACATCTCCCACTAAATAATCTGGAACTTGAACAAGACAAGTAGCTTGCATGAGATAATCACCACACAGGAAACTTTGGCTTAGTATGAGCAATATAACTTGGTTTTCTTAAACCAGATTAAGTTGAATATATACAAATTTGTACATTGATTTCACTTTCAGGAAACATTTGGAGCATCCATTGCAAATAAGGATAATTAGCTAAATTCTGAGGGCATTGTATCCCTACACTTGATTCTGTAATGAAATTCATCGTAATTACAACAACTTCTATATGGGGAACTCAAAGATTATGAACTCCATCAATATGAACATCATCAACAGCAGACAGAATTACCATAATGTTTGTTCTTATAACAATTTTTTTCCTATTCTGTGAGTATATCATTAAGCCAAACTTACTAACCCTTTGATCTATGAACCATGATTTTTCCATATGATCAAATGGAGTTTCATCCTTGACAGAACTGTAATATTTAAATAGTTTGTTAAACACTGTAAGTACAGGGATGAAGAAAAATTGAGGTACTGTATGTCTTAATACTAAAAAGACCTTGTAATCAGATAATGGAAACATTGCAATTGCTGACTTTATGAGATAAAGAGACAAGACCTAGTTTCTTTGTCTGATTTTTCCACTTCCTAAAGCTCAAAATGAAGAAGAAAACATTCCTATGAGCTGGTTTCAGCAGTTTTACTAAATGTGCCCATAAAACCATTATAATTTACTAAATATTTGAAGTTATCAGATTTTTGCTGCAAAAACTCATATTGTGCTATTTTACATCGCTTTGATATAAAAAGTCAGAGCTAGAATTATCTATGACAATTAATAAAAGCAATTTTTAATTTGTATTTGGTATTTATCCTATTGGATAATGAGCAATAGGGTTTAAGTCTTACTATGTATATTTACTTTGGAGAAAAATGTTCAAAGCAGTCACCACTGAGTCTTGAAAATAAACTTCTTTTTCCTTCTAAGGATTAATTAAAATTGATTTTTTTCTGAATGGGAGTTTAAAAAGAAATCACAAACTCAGTTAAAAAACACAGAGCTATTCATGACAGTTCTGTAATTTGATTCATGGAAATCTGTCAGGGATAAAAATCAACCACAATTTAATTTCAAACCTTTCCCAACCAGCTGCTGAACAATTATTCACTACTTTTCTATTTTTACTTCAGGATAATGACAATGATGAATGCTTTTCCTTTGAAATAAATATTCATTAAGCAGGCTCAGATCAAAACTATCCCCTTCCAAAAGCTCACAAATGTGCAAGATCCATTTGCTGCTTCTAAGAGATTTATTTGGGAAGAAAATGGAACTGTGCCCACAAATGCATCTCATAACAATTTAAAAGTTCAGTTAAATTAAACCTATGGCAATACTTACTTGCATCCTCAGTAATCAATATTATTAAAGTTGGTGTCAACCCCAATAATACCAAATATATGTGGGTGAACAACAGATTAGTTAGGGATATAAATCAGATAAAGATAGCCCAAATGTAAAGCATTAAGAAGCACTAAAAGGAAGCCAACTGCCACTAAACTGCTTGAGGTAGGTCACTGTTTTTCCATTCAATCTAGTAATGAACAGAAGTTCATAGACAAGGACCAAGTGGTAGCTTATTAGCCGCAATTTACATGGTCCATGATTTTTTTCTGTGTAAAAGAGTTATTCTATCAAAAGGGATTGTTTAAAATGAAGAATGACAATAACATTGGTGTGTTGTGTGCTTCAATACCCAGAACCACTTTAATCTATTGGTACTAAACCAGAAGTGGTAAAAGGAAGGACCTACTGTTATTTCACAGACTCCTATTATGAGTTATATGCTTCCTTTACTCCAATACTTCCAATACTGTTACACTTCACTACACATACTATACTGCCTTGCTAGGAAACTAAAAACACCCTAATTTTCAAGAGCTAAGAATAATATCTAGATATGTGTATATGTGTGTATATACAAATATCTAAAATACATAAGATCTATACATGTATAAGAATCATAAATAGATGTGATTTTGTAGATGCCAATAACAGCACATGGATGGGGTTTTGTTACATTTCCTCTGTTAGGAAAGAGATAAATGGGCTCCTACAGAGGACAATTCAGAGCACCTAGCTAGAGCCCCTGCACTGATTCTCTCTCTAGGCTTTTTCCTTATGGCTGACTGTAGGCAAATTCCAGCCTTTTTTGGCTAACATTTCATTTTCTTAAAACCTTTCCTTCTCCAAAATAATCACAGGAAAATGGAAATGCAGTCTTCTCTCTTCATGCTGGATGGCAATTTGAAATTGCTGTAATTATATACAGCGCTTAAGCATGATTTTTTACAAGGCTTTCCACATAAAAACATTATTCTGCAAAAGCTGATAACTCATTCATCTACTTAGGCTTACAACTTTAATCTTATTCTCTTCTTATGGCAATTCTGTGTTGGAAAAATTCCACCAATTTCAAAGGATTACACTGTTGCAAGTGATGAAGAAATCAGACAGTAATATTTAATATAAAAAATACTGAATTAGATTTTCTTAACTACATTATCTACCTACTGGATTATATCTTATGTTTAGCTAATTAAACTGTAATAATTACACAAAATACAGCCCCAATTAGACTTCAAGTTTTTTGGTCTTGCATGGAATGGAACAGTTAAATTTTACTTGTTTTTGTTGCTTTTTAAATAAAAAAATATTTTTAAATCAACTACTAAAATAAAGCTGCCAAGATTGAGTGTGGGTAGGGTTACTAATTACTTCAAAATACAAACAAACAAACAAACAAAACCTTAACCACAAATTCACAACTTTAAATACATAACTAACCATCTCCATCCTTTATCTACCATTCAGGGACGTACTTTGCAGATATCCTAATGCTCTCATCTTCCAAATACAGGTGAAACAGATAAAAATAAATGAACTCTTATATCTTGCACCAAAGTGCCTTCATATATAAACACCCATATATACACACATCACAGAAAGGGGCTGAGCACTTACAGAACAGATGTCTCTGAGACTGAGTGCAGGCTGCCAATGTACAGAAGCGTGAAAATAAAAAAAAACAATTGTTGCAAGAAAAGCTTTCTATCTTACCTTGAGACACTCTTCTTGTTTGAAGAGATCCTCACAATCCTTAGCTTGCAGAACAGGAGAATTAAGGCGTTCTTCTACTTCAGACAAGGCTTGCAGAAGGTGAAGGATCTCTGCCAGGTATGTAGAAGGCACATGAGTAGTTTCCACAGTCATAGTTTCAGTCACCACAAAAGTTGTATCTTCATGAACTGTTTGCTAGTACAGATATATAACAGAATGCTTCTTTTAGTTTCTTAACACTACACAAACTTACAATTTAATGCAATTTCCAGTTCACAACCTAGAAACAATTAAAAATACTTCTAGTTGCAAATTCTAATTCTAATTCTAATAATTCTAAATGCAAAAAAATATTTGAGGTTTCTGACATATATCACTCACACTCCACTAGCTTGTTTGAAATGGCAGGTACTAAAATTAATCCATGAAAAGTGTACAAATTTTCTTCTGCTCTTCAAAGAAATGAAGAGAGATGATAATGCAAGAGTAATCTGAGATTACAGTGTTAGTGAGATTTTAGAGCTAGCCCTTTCATTTTAGCTCATCACACCTCTTAAAGAATCTGTCCTTCATTATAGAAATTCCATGCATACCAGGCCTAAAATATGAAATAATTTCAAGGTGTCATGTAAAATAATGTCTTGTGTAATAGACACAGTTTCTTAAATAACATTTAACACAAAACAACTAGGTCAACTCAGCACTTTCAACACTATACTATAACCTTTTTCTTTAAACTAGAAAGTACAATTTGGAATTTCATGATCTGAAAGGTCTTTAATGAATTCATATGTCTAAAACAAATCCCAGCGACACACCTCTTCAGGAAATTGAGGTTTTTTTGTTTTGTTTTTTTTTTTTTTAAATTTGGACAAATATTCAATAGACACCCTATTCTGTAAGCACATGCATACACCAATTGTAAAGAAATTCCAGAATGCTTTGGTTCCAAGGAAATAGATAGTTGATCTATGGAATTTGGAAAGATACTGACATATAAGGCAATAAAATAGTTATTGCTTATATAAATTCTCTATATTTCTGATTTGATGTCTTTATGAATCATAGGTAAAACGTAATACCAAAAGTGTGCTTTGGAGCAGAAAGAACGGTAATTATTTCTTTTAACTTATGTTCAGAATGCGTGAACTCCTGCATCTCCATTAGAAAAGGCAAAATTGAAAAGATATAAATTATTTGTGGTTTTGTAAGCATAAATTATTGTTTATTTGTTTTGTTACATCACATATGATTCCTACTGCGGGACTAAGATTCATTGTGCTTGATGTCTGTCTTCTCAAAAATATAAACTTTACTCATTGAAGACTTCAAAGAACTTTTACAAGCATTTGCTGGTAAACTTTCTTTCAAAAATCATATTGTTTAGAAGCTTCAGTCCTAATACAGATAATCACGGATTTTGGAGCCATATATGTGAAAGACAATGGATCAATGGTCTTGAAGAAAACAGTATTAGTTAGCTACACAGTGTGTAAAAGAAAACAAATGTAAACACTATTTTGCACACACTATCTGAGCAAGGTGTCTCATTTTAATCTATTTGCAATGTCCATCCTTTCATGACATGTTTCTCTCCTCAGTTACCAGCTGAATCATCTGTTTCTTCATTTTTCTTTGAAGTCTTAAAATACGCCTAGATACACTCTAGAAGATGTATGCATATCACATATAAAGCCCATAAAGTTATCTGTAGACTTGTGTTATTCTGCTACATTTCTTATGCAAATTTAGTTGCTTTGCTTACACTTTTCTCACTAGATGACTTTCTCAGTACATCTGCTAACACTGAAACTTCTCTAATTACCATATCACTGCTATAATTTTTATTTTTTAAAATAAATTGCTTAAAAAAAATTGTGTTCACCCCCCATATGTTTCATGAATCACAGGCTCTGCAAAAAAAATAGTTTACCCCAGTAAACCTAAAGAAAAAGCTGTCCCAGTTGATTAGAAAATGGGAGATTCTCAACAGGCCACTGAGGCATGGAGTAATATATTTTCATTACTCAAGACATCACAGAGACCCTTCTACAAGTAGCAGAGAGCTTTAGACCCACATAAGGAACACTTTAACTATAATTGTATTTTACTTTTTAACTGAGAAGAAAGAACATTTATATTCATAGTAATGAAAAGAGATGTGCAAGGTTATTCACTGAAAATGAGGTCACAAGAATATGTAAAGTGACACACAATACATAATTAGTTTCTACAGTTTTATTAGTTTAATCTATTTTTTAACCCAAGTTGAGGCTAATCACTATGTATACTTGTACACACATACATGTATACATGTGTACATAAAATAAAATCTGTGCCTTCTTGCTATAAATAATTCCTGAAACTAGAAAAAAAGTCAAGCAGAAATCTGATGTGTGAGAACTTCATGGATAAGATGCTTAATTATTTATAGTAGTGCCAAAATTGGGTAAGGACCAATTGAAGACAAGACTGAACCTGGTATGACATACATGGTTTAGTAATCCCCCCAGATATGTGTAATCTTTACTTGCATTAATGTTAATGAGATGTGTGCAACCTTACACACATACAGCCCTTTACAGAAAACTTTACATGTATATTTCTCACAGCTGGACAATTTATCATATAGTTCTACAGAAAACATGACTCAGGAAATTTCTAGTTGACGCGAACCATCAATATTTATATAATTAGTTAAAGTGTAAAGTACTACACACAGATAATTAAATAAAAGGATTGATATATGAAAGTAGAGGTCTACTAGAACCTGCCCTCATATGTGTCAACATTATTTAACACCTTATTCTAAAAAAAGAGTAACAATCAAAAATCATTTGTTTGTGAGTATTATTTAAATAAAACAGTTGGAAATTTTAGAAATCCAACATAAAACTTCTTTGCCTTTAGTGAGTTTTTCAATAGGTCACAGGTGTTTGTTGTTGTTTTTTTTTCTTTCCCTCATTGATCGTAGCACAGCACAACCCAAGGCAGAAGTTGGCATCCTGCACTAAACAACAGAGGATAGGGATATCCAGAACTGGCAATTTTAATCAGCAAAGAAACGGAAAAAATTTTGGCTTGTCTTTATGTTTGCTGGAATTGCCATACTGTAAAAGGTACAATGGGCAGAGTCCTTCCCTATATTCTGGACAAGTAACTTTACTAGAAATGCACAGCTGAAACCAAATCATCTATTAACACTGTAATGAGAAAAAATGTTTAAAAAGGGAGATTTTAGCAGCTGGGAATCACTACTATTAAAAACAATATTAATTCAATAAAGATATATGTCTTTGCTAATGCTAAAATAGTTCATCAGAAGCAGGGTAGGTTAACATTTTATAATGATCAAAAATAAATAAGAACATGGAAATTAAAGTTTTATATCACTGCTTAAGAATGGTTTTGAATAAGTGGCAGACTACACTAGGTAGTTACTTGAAAAATACTCAAACCCAAATAACACATAATACAAATAAATTGTTAAGAACGATGGGAAAACACTGGTGTAAATGGCCATTTCCTATACTGTTATTGCAGCAAAATACATTTTTATTTATATAAATTATTTTTTTCACTTTTTCTTGATTATGAGTGATATACTGATATCTAAACAATTTCTAGTCTCTGAAAAAAACTTTTGGTGAGGCTTAACATTTCATGTGTTCCTTTTCACAAAGCATTATCATCAACAGAAGAGTAAATCGAATTTTCTTCCTCATCATTACATATTTTTAATTAAGGTACAGGATCTTTGCATAAACATGACCACCTACATGTGACAGATTTTATTGACTGTTAACTCCTAGCAGGTGCAACAGAAAGACAAGAAATACACTCATGAACTGGCTCTTACAGAGAAGACCAATAAGCAAAAACCAAAATCAAATCAAAACCAAACCAAACAAAACAACCCTAAAAAAAGGATGTTAGGAATGACACAGGTTTTGCCTATAAAATCAAACACCACCCCAAGAAGTAACTGTGATGATTATTGCCTACATCTAGAGCAGTATTATCTGGTGGTGCCATGGCTAACTAACCTCTGAGAATGCTGTTAATTTTTGTTTAGGACTGGAAAACTCGGTCTTAAAAAACACTTCACCCATCTCAGAATATCCATTTCCTTTCCTCTTTCTGCAGAGGGAACAATCCCAACACCACTTTTACTGTTCAAATGTCTACACCCAGAAAGCTTCTAACCTTTTTGTGTTAGGCCTTGACGACTGTTCCATTTTTGGTCTTTTTCTCAGTGTAGGCCTCCAAACTCATAGACACCTTAGTATGCTGTGCTTTTGAGTTATTAACTTCACACAAACAGAATATGTGTTTACATATATTCTGTTTCAATATATCTGTTTCAATATATATCAATATATTATATATATCAATATAATATATATATTATTAACATACTTCTCAGCACTACTGTACCATGACACTGCTCCTACCAGCATCCTGATGAGGAGTTCAGGAAAACCAAACAATCATGTTCTTCCTTCTGAAGTGTACTAATGCTTGAGAAAGTATTCTTTACAAGCAGTTGTGTTGTAAGAGATGACAGCATAAAAAAGTCAGTCATTATGGAGGCAGATAAAGGCCTCAAACAGGTCAATGAACTTTGGGACAGTTTATTGCTTTCTAGAGCAAACTCTAAACTCCATGATTTTTGACAGCCCATGGTTAGCATCAAATAAATAATTAAAAACACAAAAGTATGATCAAATGCTGTCAGACATCAATAAAGCCACTTTCAAGTGCATTTATATGCAAAGCAGCTTTTATTCACCCCTTCCTATGCCAACTGTGAGTGATGATTTCAGCTAACATTCAGAAAAATAAATTCTGTGTCTACAGTATTGCTAGCACATCTTACCTGTAAGCATGTATATATGTAGAAGGTAGATAAAAATTGTACCAATAACATGGAGTTTTCATTATAAGATTGGATGGCCTTAGTCAGCCACAAGAAAGTTATCTATCAGTACAAAAAGAAGCATCTCTTTCAACTACAGAGAGACCTAAATCCTCACTATAGGATTAAAAATCTATACAATGCATATGTAATTCCATGAAGGCAAGGCATTAAAAGGCACTTGTAGAAATAAAATATATTTAAAATAATTTTTTAAAAATCATGTTTTCAAGTAAGAATGTAAATATTTTCTCATGTATGTGATTTTTCTACTAAT